AATGCCTCAATGTATTGAAGGGGCACAGTGGTTACGTTACGTCTCTTCTTTGCTGGGACGTTGTTCTGTTCACATCATCTCTGGACAAAATAGTGAATGCATGGGCGTACGAAGATGGCGAACTGAAGGTTGTACATTCCCATCAGGAGGAAGATGGCGTCGTTAAACTCAGTGGGTTGCAGAAGGATGCAGAAACCGACCCTACTCTGTTCTGTTGTCTTAAGGACAACTCTGTTCGACTGTACGACATTCCGTCTTTTGCTGAGAAAGGAAGGATATGTTCCAACAAAGAAGTGAAGGCAATGAAAACAGGGCCCGGTGATATGTTCTTCACCGGCGATGGGACAGGCAAGGTGGCTGTTTGGAACTTGTATGAGGAGCCAAGCAAGGCGGTGGCGGCTTCTTGATTTAATTAAAAGAAATTGTAGCTCCCAATTTTGCAACATTAACTGTTTCCAGTTGTAATTACTACTAAATACTTTGCCTCTACACTTGATGTAATCCTTCCGGAATTATATGTTCATGATGAGGAATTATTCAGTTATATTTCTTGTTCCTGTTTTGCTCTTTGTATTTCCTTTTTCAGTTAGCTTCAATATTACAATTTGAGATAGCATTTCCTTTTCTAAATCACTTCTTGCTCATTCCAAATAACATATATTTTAAAGCAACATCGGATGATCATGTACATATAGAAACATAAACAAAATATGACTCAAATTATTTTGCACACAGCAAACATGATATTGGACTCTGTTTATCTTGTGAGAACTCATTTGAGTTATTACTTGTACGTGTACTCAGACCTTTTGGAGCTTGTCTTCACCAATGATCCACCTGGTTAGCGGGCATGGGTCTCCAAACAATTTGCACGACTTAGGAATAATCCCAAATTCAGCAGTGATTAGATCATATGCCTTGAAAGCTGCTATCATCTCTGCTTCAACAGGAGTAGCATCCACACTGTCAATCATGTTCATGAGTAGCACCTCAGCGTAGTGCTTCTCTGTCTCAAAATCATCTTGGAAGGGTTCCATCACCGCTCCCTGTTCCACCACACCAAGTCACCAACCATGGCCTTCATTGACAGAGGTCATTGAGGGGTATCTTGAAAAGCAAAAAAGTCAACTGAATTCTTAATACAATGTAAAGTTATAAAAGCAACTTCACTGGGTGGTCAAGAACCAAAGGTTAAGAGAAAAAGAATAAAGGGGAATAGTAACAGAAATGAATGTCATGATTTGGAATTGTCAATAACAAGCCATTATAATTCACAAATGTTTAACATTTAATTTATATCAGTTAGTATTATCAATTCCTCAAGAGATTACGCATTATAAAATAAAACAAACTGAACAAGCATTCAAACAAAGTACATAATAAAAGAAAATAATTAATACACTTTTGACTTAATACATTTTTAGACATATATTTGGTTTAATTATTAAAATATAATATAAATATAATCAATTAAATTAATTTTTATACCATATATACATACTTATATTTTTAAATATATTTTTCTTTAATTTTAAATTAAAAATACTCATTTTTTATAAATCAAAAGATGTATCAATTAGTACTCACAATAAAAGCATGTTAGGAACAATTGTCCTTCTGCACATCACCTTAGTTAAGATTAAGCACAATAATTGGATTGACGTATCTCTCAGCCAGGTCTTCAAAATGCAATTTGATTGCCTCATATGTGGATCATACCTCTGTATTGAGTTGAAAAAGGGAAATCATCAAAAGAATTTTTTAGAAATTATAACAAAAGAAAAATATAATTTAGATGAAGTAACATCTGTAGAAAAAGCTTCAGCCGTTTAATGTTTACAACAACAAAGTAAGACTGTCTAATATAAGGGAGCCGTTTGTTTTAACTTATTTGAAAGTAATTATCAATTGTGAGTTTTAATTAAATGAGATAAATATTTTAAATTATAAATATCAATGATTATTAATGATTATATATTAAACTATCCATTAACAATTTTTTTTTTTAAAAAAAAAAAACCAATATGAAGAGCTTATAAAGTTGACTACACAACATGGCCCACCGGAGCTTGTGGCCTTACTCTGGGTCTAAGGAAGTTGGATCTTGGAGCTGGTTTTTTAGTATTTTACTAATTTGCCCTTTTAGTTTTGGAGAACCGGCCGGGTGGAGATAGAATTTTTTAGACCATGAAAAAGGAATTTTTAATAGAATTTTTTTTAGTATATAGAAAAATTAATTTTTTAGTCCTACATAAATTTAATTTTTTTTATTTTAATTCTAAATCAATTTTTTTTAACCAATAAAAATTAATTCAGCATTGTTATAAAAAGCTAAGATATCTTTCAAATGAAACAAAAAAATATTTAACTAATAAAAAAACAGATACAGCTTTTTATTATGTCTATATAAATGGTGCTTGATAAAAATTTTCAAGTGAATACATATATTTTTGAAGAAGCAAACTAGTACATTTTTGCTGTTAGGGAGGTGGGAATAGGAAGGGAGCGAAAATGGGATGGCTAGATCAAAATACATGATTCATAGTATTTCCCACTCAAGGGAAGTGGACTTTAGTTTAACCACTCTAGTTATTATTGAAGGGTAATGAAAAAGGTTGGCTGAACATGTCTTCACTTTAGGGGCAATTACAATACAACTAAATATTAAGAGGTGGAATTTAATTAAAAAGAAAAAGAGATAGTAATCCTCTCTCTCTATACACATTTTCTCTCCCTTCTCTCTTGCTTCTGCCCTCCTTCTCCGGTGCTGCGTTGGTTTTGCTCGGAAGCCTTTGAGCTTCCGAGGTTTTGATGCTTAAGCCGTTGGGCTTCTTGGCCGCTCAAGCATGCTGGAGCCGTCCTGTGCTCCCTCCTCCAATGATTTTTCTGGGTCTGTCAGCTTTTTGGTCTTTTTCCGGTGACCCCTTTCGGTTTTCCTGTTTTTTCTTGTTGTTTTATTTTACTTTATGTTCTTGTATAGTTTATGTTTTTCAGATCAGACGACCCTCGGCTCTATCCTGCAGATCTTGGGAGGTGCTCGTTGATTTTTCAGATTTGGCCACTGTCGAACTGGATCTCTGTCGCAGCATCTTGGAAATCTCACGCCATCCTCTCCGAAGTAGATTGAAGGGTGTATCATGGCTGGATCAATCGACTTCAGGTTGCTTGAGTGACTTCACCTCCCTTCCTCCTATGCATCGGGCCTACTCTGCTTTGCTTCTCTAGTTTGTTCTTTTCTTTGTCTGTTATCCTTATCCTTTTGGATAAGGTCTGGACGTAGATGTTGTATGACAGTTTCTCAAATGCATTGTTTATTACCTTTTTCTCAAAAAAAAAAAAAAAAATTAAGAGGTGGAAGATTAATCTAAGTGGTCAGATTTAAAGTCAAAATTTAAGTGTCACATCATTAAATTCTTATAATTGAATCATGAATGATAAGAAAAATATCTTGTTAGTTAATCCACTTGACTTTGTGTCTAATGTTAGTTGAATAATATGTGAAACAAATGCACTTGACCCTTCGGGCCAAGCGGCCTTAAGGCTGCCTTACAGTGCATTCCCCCCTCTCCTATGGTGGGTTCGATTCCCACCCTTGTAAACTTGATCTAAAAATAAATATTTGAAACAAATAATGAAGTCATAATTTCTCATTTTTATTCAAC